AGAATCAGTTCATGTGCCAACATTTTGGTTGGAGCCACAATAGGTTAAAACAAAATGAAACAATGGAAAATTGAACTGTAGTTTCTTACTCATCTCTGATCATTAACAAATATAAAGACAACTTATAGAAAACCAGTTATTAATTAGAAACATTTAATTAGAAATGAACATGAACTGATTATGAGTTTTCCCCATGACATCTCTCCAAGATTTGGGTTTTATCCTTGCCTATACAATTTTTAGAAAAGAAATTAAATTAATATGAAAAATAAACATGGAATAAAACCTGCCTAAACTGAACTTTGCATAAACATTTTTTCTAGTCTTTTTTTCCAGACTTGAAAGAACAAACACCATAACATTTCTGTAAGAAATTATAATTCTCATTTTTTTTGATTTTCAGTTTAGAAGATACAGTACATTTTTCATACTAAATACAATGTATATATTAAAAAAAAAATAATTAAGAAACAAAAAGTTAGCTTATTGACTTAATATTTACTCATTTTTGTACTTTCTCCACATAGATTCTTACTATCAGTGTTCATATAACTTTTTCAAGTTCAAGATCATTGGCATGCCATTTTTTTTATGAATAATTGATAATTTCAAGGAACATGATTATTTTACACAAAATAGGTTACAATAAACCAATTTTGGCCTGTACATTGAGATACAAAGACAGAATGAAAAATCCTGATACAAGAACATACAAGTGCATTTCTGACCCATAACTTGTAAACTTTAAATTCAATAAATGAATTGAAATTGTGAGCCTCTAGGATGAATTTTAAAATAAATCACCTGATGTTTAGCAAATAAAATAAATCACCTGATGTTTAGCAAATAAAATAAATCACCCGATGTTTAGCAAATAAAATAAATCACCTGATGTTTAGCAAATAAAATAGCCAACATACAGCAAGTAAGGCCAGACTTTTTTTATTCTTTGTTTCTTGAGTTTTTATAAGGCAATTTTTTTGAGAAGGGCGAAAAAAAAATTAAATTAAAATGAAATAAAATTTTATTCCATATATAACCTTTTTTCTCATCTGCGCGAGACTTCGATACTTTGATCATGATACTCCCACAAAAATGCAACTTGGGTTTGTTATGTGGCGGGCGAAAAAAAAATGAAGATAAAAATAAGTTTTTTTTAGCAATCTTTTGCACGTACAAGTCGACGGGCGCGAGAAATTACGCTGAAATAAAATTTTATTTTTATTTCATTTTCGGCTTCTGTTCATTTGGCGGGTTCGCGAAACAAGGGATAACAAGTCATTGAAAATGACACAGTCCCCGTTAAGTTTTCTTTGTGCTCGTCATATTAAAACAGAGGGGTTGTCGCGAGTGTGTCCTTGAAACTTGAGTTCCAAGTGGCGTATACAACAGATTGTTTATTTACATCAAAACACGTGTTTCGTGTCATAGTAATATGGCCAAAAATAAAAACAGCCGTTATTCAGCCATCTTTGATCTGATTATGAAACACACTGATATGTATGATGTATGTGCCAAATACGAATGAAAATGGTACATAAATTGTGGAAATATAGTAGTAAGGCCAAAAAGTCAGATGGCTGTCAATCGGCCATCCTTTGAAACAAATTGTCATGGACATGCATCCTAACATGTATAAAGTACATGTATGTGCCAAATTTGAATGAAAACTGACAAAGCATGTTCAAAATACGACATTTTCAAAAAACAAGATGGCTGCCAGTTGGCCATCTTTGATCCAATTGTGAAATAAATCATCATGAACATGTATCCTAACATGTGTAATCTATGTACTAAATTTGAATGAAAACTGACAAAGCATGTCCAAAATACAACATTTTCAAAAAACAAGATGGCTGCCAGTCGGCCATTTTGAATCAAATCGCTAAACCACTGCATGTGCACATGTCCTACATAAAGTACTAGGCACATGCAAAGAATGAACGGAATCAGTCCAAGGGATTCTGAGATATGACTCCGGACGGACGCACGGACACACGGACGGACGGAGACCGAATTATAAGTCATAATAAAAGACTAATAAAAGTCTGGCCTAATATTAGCAGCACTCTGAGGGTATGTAAATTAAGAGGTATTCATCCATACATGTTTTTATTTCAATCGTTTCCAGCACGTCTTCATATGTCCATGTGAGGATTATTTCAAAAGCAAGACCCCCCAGAATAATGCTCTTGAACAGTGTTTTGAGGCACAAGACCCCTTAGAATAATGCTCTTGAACAGAGTTCTGATGCACAAGACCCCTTAGAATAATGCTCTTGGACAGTGTTCTGAGGCTCAAGACTCCCTATAATAATACTTTTGAACGATGTTCTGAAGCACAAGACTCCCCAGAATAATGCTTTTGAACAGTTCTGAGGCATGAGACCCCCCAAAATAGTGCTCTTGAACAGTGTTCTGAGGTACGAGACCCCCCAGAATAATGCCCTTGAACAGTGTTCTGAGGCACAAAACTCCCCAGAATATTGCCCTTGAACAGTGTTCTGAGGCACAAGACTCCCCAGAATATTGCTCTTGAACAGTGTTCTGAGGCACAAGACTCTCCGGAATAGTGCTCTTGAACAGTGTTCTGAGGCACAAAACTCCCATGAATAGTGCTCTTGAACGATGTTCTGAAGCACAAGACTCCCCAGAATAATGCACTTGAACAGTGTTCTGAAGCACAAGACCCCCCAGAATAATGCTTTTGAACAGAGTTCTGAGGCACAACACTCCCCAGAATAATGCTTTTGAACAGAGTTCTGAGGCACAAGACCCCCCAGAATAATGCTCTTGAACAGGGTTCTGAGGCACAAGACTCCCCAGAATAATGCTTTTGAACAGAGTTCTGAGGCACAAGACCCCCAGAATATTGCTCTTGAACAGTGTTCTGAGGCACAAGACTCCCCGGAATAGTGCTCTTGAACAGTGTTCTGAGGCACAAGACTCCCATGAATAGTGCTCTTGAACGATGTTCTGAAGCACAAGACTCCCCAGAATAATGCACTTGAACAGTGTTCTGAAGCACAACACTCCCCAGAATAATGCTTTTGAACAGAGTTCTGAGGCACAAGACCCCCCAGAATAATGCTCTTGAACAGGGTTCTGAGGCACAAGACTCCCCAGAATAATGCTTTTGAACAGAGTTCTGAGGCACAAGACCCCCCCAGAATAATGCTCTTGAACAGTG